TAATTATTATATTCTCATTTAGTATTCAGTATCTTTTATTTAATAATCTAAGGCCAGGGACCATTCGTTTTTATTGGGAGGGGAGGGGGGCCGAGCCTGGTGGTTTTGAGGGGGAGCCACCCAAACAAAAATCATGTTAGAGGGGGGAGGGCATGCAAAATTATTATCCTAAATTACTTGTATATTCAATACAACATGTTTGATATGTGTAAAATTCTTTGAACTACTGTTTTTAAATTTTATTTTGAAGATATTGATGCATCGCTAGGGTTAAATGTTTAAACGTTTAATGCACGCTTTTTTTTAATCCAGAATTTTGCATCTGATTCATGAGATCATCCAAGACCTCAGCACTACAGCACTGCTAACCCTTATTAATTTATTTAGAAAACAAATGTAAATTAAGAAAATCCATAAACAACGTCTTTTGTGAGGTCATCTCACTTTGCAGTCTCAATGTTCTTGGAAATGCGTTGACGGTGCTTTTTCACCCCAACCGCATAAAATGACTGAAAGAACATTGGACAAAATCATATGCCTTTCCTCCCACAAGATGACAGCGTGACTTGGCAATGCAGCAGTATTCATATACCATGAAAATCCAAGGAGCAATGTCTTGCAAATGTAGAACGTGTTGTTGAACTGTTAAATAAGCGAAAAAAAACGCAGCTAAAACAGGCACCAAAACAATTATACGGAAAGTTCCAAAGTTCATAAGATGAATTAATAAACAATGTTTTCGAAAACAGCGAACAAAGGACTAAAGGTTGTGCTACATCTGTTTTTAGTACTTTGGTCTGGATACGGGGAAAATGCGAGATATCAATAGCTGTTTTTAAGATAGAACTTAAGAGAAAAATAAACTCGATCACCTAGCAAATATGATAATGTCCTTTTTTAGGTCTTTAATTTTTGTATACTGTATTATTTAGTCTCCCTCCACAACAAATACTCCACGTAATGTATCCTTAATGTAAATTATGAGATTTCTTTCTCATGCAAATAATTCGTGTCTGCTAAAACAGGCTAAACTGGTAAAGTTCTCGCGTGGCTTTTTCTCTCTTGAACCCAATATGTTTATTTTTGATTTGAAGTCGATTCGGAATTCTCAAAATTTTATTTTTTCATTGAAATGATTCCAAGATCTCATGAGATGAACGATTGGTTCAGTTTCGGCTTCGCGATTTATTGTGCATTGCTTTTCACAGTAGCTCACCAGGTTTATCCACGCTTCAAACAATATGATGTACCCGTACTCATGTGACTTTCTGACAGGTTTTTCGCGGAACTTGTACAGCAATACAAAAGAAAGACACGGACGAATAATCAAAAACCGGTTTAAACTAGTTTTTTTGCGGATGCGTCATGCCAGATGGAATCTTCAAGTGGTTTACTAGTATAAACCGGTGTAGACTGGTTTTTGAAGACCATTATACTAAAGTAGTTTTACTGCACGAAATTGAAGCGTGGCGGTGTCCAGCTAAAATTAGAAATTAGTTCAAGTCATAATGCATCCTCACTTTGTAAATACCTGATTTGGATGAATATTTTTCAGTCATTTCTCCCAAATAATGCGTTTTCAATGACTTCAACAAAACGTAGAGTGAATTTAAGAGTAAAAATATGTCTACATAATCCAGCCTAGTACAACTATAAATGAGATCAAAACACATCATGTTTTCATCATGATACAGCTTTTGTTTCCGAAAAAAAGGAAGGGAAAAATGTAGTTGAAATCAGCATACATACTCTTTTACAAGCCAGTGTTCAGCCTTAGCTTATTTTGTTTTTGTTTTTATGATAATGATTGCGGTACTCCTTAAAACATCTATTAATTTTTGCAAAGTGTCCGTTTAAGGTACGTGTGAAAGTGAAAGGTGATGTTTTTACTTAGCGAAATTATTAGTCTATAGCTAGCCCGGCGTTATTACTTGATGTGATCAATCTATGATTTTGGTGGCGTTTGTACCACAGGAAGCCCAGAAGTCAAGCGTCCTATCTCCAAGTCGCATCATTGCACATTAGTAAATTGAAACGTCAGTATAAGTTATTTCACCTACTTTTTTTACGGTGTTAAATTTATCTCTTTACATAACTGTTACGTTTTGTATACGTTTTTGTGACGAAAGGCCTTCTGGGAAGGCTTTCGTCACTATGTCATCCATTCCACTTGAAGCAGGCGTTCCTAGCGGTTATCAAAACATGTGATCGTTGTCAAGGAGATGCCGCTGGCTAAGGGAACGAAGGCTACGAAAACGCGATTACTGTCCTTCACGTGCTCTCTGACTGGTGTGTTGATTCGAAGGTGAGTTGTGAATACAACGTATTCAAACTCTTTTGTGTCTAGAACTAGGCAAAACTATCTATGCATTTGTAAATTTAGTATTTCTTAAGAATTGTTCAGATTTTTGGGCACTTTATGTAGTTTGTGTTCCAACAAAAATCTCGATTGCATCGCTTGGCTTTATGACATCAGTAATTAAAGAAATGGAGCTCAGAACCAGCTTCGGGAGACCAGATATCACAGCAGTGTAACTCAAAATGTGCTTTGGCACACTAAAAATTTCCCTCGGGAAACTATACCGGTAATGTTATCACAGCAATGTGACTCAAAAATGTTCTTCACGGCACGTTGAAGATTTAGATTTTTTAATCTTTAATTAAAAACATAACATACATACCCATATATATGATCAATTGTGTCTTGTGACAATAATGAAGTACAAATAAAATACATTGCAGTAAATCACCAAATTTAAAATACAATGTGTTTACTTAAATATTTAAAATTTAGTTTYTTTATATTGTTTCAGAGTTCAAGTTACAAAGAACCATTACAGCTGTATTCAATACTGTGAAGTTCATCATCTTGATGATTACACTTACACATGTCCAAGTGTCACATACACCACTTTCTTACAGTTTTGTACAACTGAACAAACTGAATCAGTGCTACCAGAATGTGTTCAATTTGACATTCCATCATATAATGACACAGTATATGTGTATTTTATATTTTTTTGTTATGTTTGTTATAGTTCACTAGTGCAGAATACTTTTCTTGAACTAGTAAAGGATTTTGTAATGATAAAACTGTTCTAGAAAAGTGTAATAATGCCCAATGAATTCCAAAAAAGCTCTAAAATGTCCAATTTTACAGTTTAATTTATTAGAGTGCTCGCACTTAAAGCGTGAAACTAATAGTGCTAATTACTACTAAATAGTGTTGATTATACAATAGGAAACAAAGAAATTTGTATAATTTATCACCTATTTTGTAGTATTTATATTTCACACATTTAGTGCGAGCCTATAAGTCCCTATAGGTTTCTGGTTTCTGATTATAGCTAAAGTACAAATAATAAAAAAATCATCAATTAAAGAAAGTTACTAAAACAAAATTAGAGTGAACGTACTTAATCCGTGAAACAAATAGTACTAATTACTACTAAATAGTGTTGATTTTCCCGTAAATCAATCAAGTTCAAAAAATCTCGTAAAAATAGCTCAAAACGGCTTCAAATTCAATGTTTTTTACACAACAAAATGGCGAATACAATATTTTTTTTATTTTATTTTTATTTTACAATATTTTATTTTATTCTTTTTTTTACGTACCTATAGGGGCCTGGTAACTAAAATGGGAAGCTCCACTGTAGAGCAGAGTCACATGAACCATGAAATAAGAACTAAAAAGTACTAACTAATAGGGACTATTAGTTCCTAATAGTCGTTAGCACTGAACCAGAACAGTTTATTTGATCCAATAAGCAATACCCAAGAGACCATTTTAACAATCAAAGTAATCTCTTTGTACTGTTCTGGTTCAGTGATAGTGTCTAAATAGTGCCTATTAGGTACTAAGTATTTAGTTTCTATTTCATGGTTCAAGTGACTCTGCTCTATCAAAAAATCGCTGGCGTCTTCTATGGCCGATATATCGGCTACTGGGCAAATAAAAGAGTGTCAAATTGCTATTTGTATACTACAGGTTCTATAGTTTCTTAAATGCTGGTGACACTTTGGTGAATATTCACACGGCGTAACATTTTAGGCGTAAGAATGCTAATTCTATTTTTGGCGCGCACAACTGTTAAACTTGAACCAAATAAAACTTCCGTTACGTGCATTTTTGGAGAGATTCGAAACGTAACACACTATGGAAGCATGCCACATTTTTGGGGGTCCACTTGCGCAGGCTCTTCAAGTTATGTCAACTCTATCTGCTTGTTGGCAGTGTTTTTGAACTTACTGTATATAACTTTACTTTTGTCCATAATCAATAGAGCGACACTTAAAACCTTAAAAGGTTTTGGCCCATTTAGCCACAGGTCTTAATTAACCAACGTTTTAATTTCCAAGGAGCTAGACCAATGATATTCTTATAATTTGCGTGTTCGTTGCTAATGTATACGGACGTGGATGGACTCGGCTGGGCTCATTTAAGTGCTGACGTTTCATTTGTTGTTCTCATTTTGATAGAGACTCTCGTACTACAGTATAGTCATCCTCTCAATTGAGTCTGAAGATATCAGTTAAGTTATAAACACTCAACGCTGATGTTAGCATAGGTGAACTTCAAAGATCAGAAAACAAAACAAAGTTGAAAGAAAGGCAGAAGAGAAGAGAAGAAAGGAG